CAGTCTCGCGGGTAACTCGGCGCATCGTCCGCAGCCGAGCAGACAGATTTCGCAAGACTCGCGCGGCTGGGGTCAAACCCGGGTTGCGGGCCCGGCCTAGCTCCGCGTCGCAGGTAACCTTGAAGCGGTCGCTTGGCGTCACCGGCTCGCAAGGTCGGCTCTGCCAGCTGCGCAGCCCGAGGCTTCAGGCCCGGCCCGCGCCGACCTGACGCGCGGCGTAGACACTCGGCCCGGAGCGCCCAGCTCGCTCCCGGTCCAGTGCGGGCTCATCCCGGTAAGGGAAGCTCGGCGTGGCCCAGCTGGCTTGGCTCAGAGGGGCGGCCGCCCTGGCAGCGGCGTTTGCAAGGACTTCCAGAGCTCAGGCCCTATAACCACCTGTTGGAGCCTGACTGTGGCTACTGAGCTCACGGTGCACAGCCCGGGAGACCACCTCTCTCGCCCTCTGCTAGCGGGGTAGCTTGGCCCTTAACGCCAGCGCGGGGAGGCAGGGACAGCCTGTCTGTCTCTCCCAAGACACTGCGCTTTGACGCGGGCCCACTAAGCTTCAGGTCCCAAGGGAGGCTCCGCTCTGGGCCTGAAGCAAGGGGTCGAGCAGTTCCGGGCTGACCGCGACAAGTGGATGTCTTACAGAACAATCAGCACTGAGAGGGTACTTACTCTACGCCTCGTCCCATCCCTAGACGGGGACACCGGGGCCCAGGAAGAAAAGGGGACTTGCCGAAAGTCCCACTGCGCGGGAGGCAGCAGCGGATCCCACCTCGAGCCCCGGCGTAGCGCCCCCTGGCGGGCAGCGGGCTCCGCGAGGCGAGTGTGCCCTGACCCTCGGGGTGCAGGCTGAGGGTGACCTAGCGGCAGGCGCCTCTGTCCCGGACGTTCTTACACGGGACAGTTATAATCCGTCAGGACTCAGAGGCCAGGCCATGCGCTGCCTCTCCCACCAACGTATTGGGGCAGTGGAGGGAGAAGGCCGGGACCACCGGGGACTCTCAGAAAGAGCCTGGAGTAACTGTAGCCCCGTTTGCGGTGACCGGGGCGGCCCCTCCTCTTTGGGAGAGTTGAGCTGGACATGGATCTCCCGCTGTGAGTCTGCACTCTCCTCTGTTCGCGTGCAGCCCCTTCCTCCTCCCCACTCTGGAATGCTGGGTGCCTGGTGGGGGCGGGGGGAGAGTCCACACTTCGGGACGGGGTGGGGGGGGG